CTAGAATTACAGGCTAGAGCCACCAGTTCCTGGCAAATAATGATGTATTTTTATTTATTTATCTTTGGTGTGTGTACTAGGGCTTGAACTCTGGACCAGGACACTGTCCTTTAACGTTTTTGCTCAATGCTGGTGCTCTATAACATGAACAATGCCTCCATTTCTGGCTTTTTGGTGGTTAACTAGAGATAAGAATGTCACATAGACTTGGGGTTAAAGGCATGGCTCAGGTGGTAGGGCACCTGACAATGAGCATCAAGTGTAAGATACCAAGGCCAACCCCTGGTTTCTCACCACACACACACAAAAAAAGGCCAGAAAACATATCATGGACTTTCCTGCCCAGGTTGGCTTTGAAGCTTGATTCTCAGATCTCAGCCTTCTAAGAAGCTAGGATTAAAGGATTAGAGCTAGGATTAAAGCCACTGGTGCTTGGTGTAAATAATAATATTGAGCATTTCTCATCTTAATTTAGCCATTTAAAATTATTATATGAAAAAAGCCACATATGATTCCATTGAAATGAACTATCCAGAATGGGAATACATGTAGAAGTAGATTAAGAAGCTGCCAGGACTGGATAGAAGAGTTGACAGTTGATTGCTGTCTGGTATGAGGTTTCTTTTTGGGGTGGTTAAAGCTTGTACAATTTTTAAAAAGATAAACTTTATGCTAAATGAATATTTGTTTTTAATGTTTTCCTTTCTTTCTTTCTTTCTTTCTTTTTTTTTTTTGGTCATGGGGCTTGAACTCGACCTGGGCAAGATTTATATATTGCAACTCTAGGCTGAGATCTGAAGAATGCTGTTCCTAGTCAGCCTTTACAGGTAAATCTGTGAGTCTCTAATCTCCAGTTAACTGGCAAAAACTGAAGTAGAGCTATATGGTTCAAGTGGTAGAGAGCCAGCCTTGGGTTAAAAAGCCAACCAAGAGAAAGAAGGCTTTTTACTTTTGCTCAAGGCTAGTGCTCTAGCACTTTGAGACACAGAGCCATTTCTGGTTTTCTGGTAGTTAATTGGAGATGAGTCATACAGAGACTCTAGCTTCGAACTGTGATTTTCAGATCTTCCTGAGGAGCTAGGATTACAGATGTAAGCCACACCTGGCTGATGTGTGGTTTTTGAAATAAATCAAGCATCCACAGAACAGCACTGAACTGATTCTTGAGTGTTTGTGGGTCTCTTCAATGGCAGTCTCTTTGCAACCATATATTGGAGGATATTAAGGTCTACCATGATCCCTGGACACATTCAGTGTATTTAAGACAGGGTTTTGATATGTTATGTAGTTTAATCTGTAAACAGTATTTCAATAAAGCTATTACTATTCTCAAATGCAAAAGGACTGATTTCTTGTTTCTTTTTTGTCAGTCCTGGGGCTTGAACTCAGATCTTGGGCACTGTCCCTGAGCTTCTTTTGCTCAAGGCTAGCACTTTACCATTTGAGTCACAGCTCAAGCCTTTTCTGTTTATGTGATATTGAGGAACTGAACCTAGCGTTTCATGCATGCTGGGTAAGCACTCTACAACTAAGCCACATTCCCAGCCTCAAAAGGACTAATTTCTTGCCTGAGGTGGAGCTGCCAGTGTCTGGAAATGAAGCTGTGGAACTTTAGCTTTGAGCAAAAAAAAGCCCAGGAACAGCACCCAGGCCCTGAATTCAAGCCCCAGGACCAGCACACAAAAGAAAAAAGAAAAAAATTGCACTACAATTAAGGGGAAAGGACATAAAAAGATTGCAATAAGGGCTGGAGTTGCATATTACTTGCTAGGACATGAAAGGTCTAAATTTGATCTCCGACAACAACACACACACTGTCAACACACAAAGGCCATTAAAAAAAAAAAGAATTTAAATGTGTGAAAAGATACTCAACCATACTGTAACAACAGTATTTTCTTTTTTGGGGGGTCTGGGCGAGGGCCTGAACTCTGGGCCTGGGCGCTGTCTCTCAGCTCTTCAGTTCAAGGCTAGTGCTCTAACACTTGAGCCATAGCACCACTTCCAGCTTTTTTTTTTTCTGCTTATGTGGTGCTGAGGAATCGAACTCTGGGCCTCATGCATGCAAGGCAAGTACTCTACCACTGAGCCACCTTCCCAGTCCTAACAACAGTATTTTCTGTTGTTGTTGGTCATGGGGCTTGAACTCCGGGCTTGGGTGCTGTCCCTAAGCTTTTCTGCTCAAGACTAGTATTCTATCACTTTAAGCCACAGCTCCACTTCCAGTTTTCTGGTGGTCAACTCGAGATAAGAGTCTCATGGAGGGGCTGGGAAGGTGGCTCAGTGGTAGAGTGCTTGCCTTGCATGCCTGAGGCCCTGGGTTCGATTCCTCAGCACCACATAAGCAAAAAGAAAAAAGCTCAAGTGGTAGAGCGCTAGCCTTGAGCTGAAGAGCTGAGGGACAGCGCTCAGGCCCAGAGTTCAGGCCCCACGACCGGACCCATAAAAATAAAAAAATACAAATAGAGTCTCATGGATTTTCCTGCCTGGGCTGGCTTTGAACTGTGATTCTCAGAGCCACCAGCACCGGCTCAGTATTTTTATTTTAAGTGTCAGGAGCAGGGGTGCAACTTAGGCATAGACTTACTAGTATGCTCAAAGGTCTGGTTTTGATCTCCAGCACTGAAAACACAAGATTAACACTTGTGCAAAGTGACAGAAAAAAGATGAATTATCACTGAAGTAATGAGGATGTATAAAGAAATGATCTCCATTATTGGTGTGAGTGTAAACTGCAAAACCCTTGAAAGGAACATAAATTAAATGGAATACACATACTTTGCCACAGCAATTCCATGAGCCATATGGAATTTAGATTCCCTAAGATTTTATGAACTATACTGGCACATGTACAAAAAGTCCATAAAGGAGCTGAATGCCAGTGGCTCGTGTCTATAATACTAGCTATTCGGGATATTTCTGAAGCCAGCCTGGGCAAGAAAGTCTGAGATTCTTATCTTTGATCAAATACTAAAAAGTTGGAAATGGAGCTGTGGCTCAAGAAGCAGAGCATTGGGCTGGGAAGGTGGCTCAGTGGTAGAGTGCTTGCCTTACATGCAGAAGGCTCTGGGTTCTATTCCTCAGCAGCACATAAGTAGAAAAAAACCAGAAGTGGCTCAAGTGGTAGAGCACTAGCCTTGAGCTGAAGAGCTGAGGGGCAGCGCCCAGGCCCCCTGACCAACAACAACAACAACAAAAAGAAAAGCAGAGCATTAGCTTCCAGCACAAAAGCTCAAGGAGAGTACCCAGGCCCTGATTTAAAGCTCCAGGACCAACACACACACTCTCACACACACACACACACACACACACACATACACACACACACACACACACACACACTCCATAAAGGGACACTCACTGCAAGATTACCAGCAATTAGCTGGGTGGCTCACACCCATAATCCTAGCTAGCTACTCAGGAGGCTGAAGTCTGAGGGTCACAGTTTGAAGCCAGTCCAGACAATAAAGTCTGTGAGACTCTTATCTCTAATTAACCACTCAAAAACTGGAAGTGGAGGGCTGGGAAGGTGGCTCGGTGGTAGAGTGCTTGCCTTGCATGCATGAGGCCCTAGGTTCATTTCCTCGGCACCACATAAGCAGAAAAAGCTGTAAGTGGCGCTGTGGCTCAAGTGGTAGAGTGCTAGCCTTGAGCTGAAGAGCTGAGGGACAGCACCCAGGCCCAGAGCTCAGGTCCCATGACTGGCAAAAAAAATAAACAAACAAAAAACAAAACAAAACAAAAAAACTGGAAGTGGAGTTGTGGCTCAAACTCATAGAGCCCTAGCCTTGAGCAGAAAAACTCTCGGACTGTACCCTGAGTTCAAGCCCCACAAGGGGACCAAACAAATAATAATAATAATAAAAAAGCGGACTGATAGGTAACAAGTGTCAAGGTATATTATGGAGTAACAAAAAGTGTAGTGCTTTGTGTATAATATGCTACTCAGTTTTGAAAGATGTGTCTATTGCCTCAGAAGTGACTTGGGAAAACAAGAGGGTGGGAAGCATATTTACTTTTCACTGTTTTGTACTGCTTGCATTTCAACACATGTACTAGTAAGTTATACACTTTCTTTTCAAGATATGGCAGGGTCTCACTAGGTAGCCCAGGCTGGCTTCAAACTCTTGGTCTTCCCACTTTCAGTCTCCAGTGCTGGGATTACAAGCATATTTACCACACCAACATTGATTACAGATTCTATATTACATTTAACACAACTTGTAAACAGGCCTAGGGGGAAAAAAAAAAGCCCAGGACTCGAAATCCAAAAAGTCTCCTGCTAGTAGTTGCCTCTCACCAAGTTTACAACTAACGGTTTTCTCCTAAAGAGAGGACGGAGGTGGGGGGGGGGGTGGGGGGGGGGGGGGGGAAGGGGGGGCAGAGGGGGGTGGAGTGGGGGACCCAACAACGCCCTTCTAAGCTTCCTTGAGCAGTGTTTTCTTCCAGGCACTACTGACTGTATCGTAGGTAGTTTGGTGGATGTCTAATGCTTTGGAAATACACTTTGGTGAAGATAAGAGTAAGTACCATGCATTTTAAGCACAGGCATGCTTGTTAAGAAAGGTACTTGGCAGTTATGTACTGCTCCCACAATCTTGCTTAAATACAATTTTTCTAGTGCATTTAGAGATGAAACTATGGCTCAGACTCGACGAGTGTCCGCCACAGGCCGCAAGAGTTTGGAATCTAATGGATTCCTGCCAAACCACAAGTTAGATCCCAATCTGACCACGCGCAGAGTCAGTGCGGAGGGGGAAAAGCATCATGCGTGGGACACCCCCCGCCCCCACGTTCCCTCCCGCCGGCTTCCGGGACACGCATCCTTGCAACCTTCTTCCCAGCATCCTCCCCGCGCGACCGCTCACTTCCGGTGCCAAGCAGGCCCGAGGATTGCCACTCCAGCACCCCGCGTTTGGGACGCACTTTCCGCCTTGACCCATCCCTGCCCTACACCCCGCTTCCACACCACCCAGGCCTCTCTTATCACGATCCCTTACCTGCCCTGCGGTCCCCCCCTCCCCCGCGGGCCGAGGGCCCGTCGCTGACGACCGCCCTCACCTCTTCTCTCTTCGCCTGCCGCGGCCTTTTACAAACCGGGCCAAACTACTCTCTGTAACGATGGTCCTCATTGGTTAGAGCCGCTCACGCGCGGCAAGTGCCCGCCCACCTGACCTCGCATGATTTGATGGGAGTTGTAGTTTTCTCCTGGCCTGAGGGGGAGTGGGGCGGGGGAAGTGTGGGCAGTGTGGAATGCCAGGGGTAGAAGTTTTGGGGACACGGCTAGTGCTAAACTCAAGGCTCTACTTTTATGGGGCCAAAGTGCTTCTTGTTTTCCTTATAGTAGGCACTTGATGAAGCCTCTCGGCAGGTCCTACCTTCCGGCTGAAGAATGATGTGAAAATCCCATGAGATTTTCTACCTTAACAGATGTCAATTGCGGTTTGGTTTTCGAAAGTCCTGTCCACCAGTGTTCCTTCTAGCTTTCACTTGAAGGTTCCCCCGCTTCCTTTTTGTTTTTTTGTCGGTCATGGGGCTTGAACTTGGCCTGGGTGCTGTCCCTGTGCTCTTCAACTCAAGGCTAGTGCTCTACCACTTGATCCTTAGCGCCACTTCCGATTTTCTAGTGGTTTATTGAAGTCTCATGGAGTTTCCTGCCCGGGCTGGCTTTGAACTGCCAGCCTCCTAAGTAGCGAGGATTATAGGTGTGAGCCACCGGCGCCCGGCCCCCACTTCCTAAACTATACTTTCTTTTGGCCGATCCTGGGGCTTGAACTCAGAGCCTGGACTCGTCCCTGAACCTCTGTGCTCAAGTGCCCTACCACTTGAGCCACATCTCCACTTCCAGGTTTTGGGGTTAATTTATGTACTTAAGTGGTTTATTTAAGTCTTACAGACTTCCCTGCCCCGACTGGCTCTGAACTGTCGCGATCCTCAGACCTCAGCCTCGAGTAGCTGGATTACAGGTGTGTGTGTCACCAGCACACGGGTCCTTAAATAGGCTTCCTATATATCCTATCTGGCTCCTTGGAAGCACACAGAATAAACCTAATGTTCTAGCAGGATACTGTTGGCTCACGCCTGTAATCCTAGCTACTCAGGAGACTGAGATATGAGGAGCCAGCCTAGGCAGAAAAGTCCGTGAGACTCTTATCTCCAAATACTCAAAATAATGATTACACAATTATCAAGATCAGCACTTTTGTGTATCTAATAAATTGTGTAGGCTTGGTTTTTGTCACTAATTTACTTTCTACTTAAAGTAGAAAAGGTAGTATTAGTGAAAAGTTAAAATTCCAAGTAGGACTTAAGGTATAAAGAAAAACTTGATCCCATATATTCAGTGCTAGCCCTGAATACAAAAGTTCAGGGACTGTGCCCAAGCCCTGAGTTCAAGCCCAAGGGTGGCAGGCCCTCACCTCCCAAAAAGCACTTAATGTAGATATTAGCTTCCTAGTATGGTTAGGATTTTAACTTATACACTCCCTTTAGTTAATAGAATACATCTTTTTTTTTTTAATGGCATCTCATTTCAATGTTTTTTTAAAAATTTTTTAGTGAAAATACTGTACAGAGGGGTTACAATTACATGGGCAAGATAATGAATACATTTCTTATCAAGCATTGTAGCCTCCTCCTCAATGTTTTATCTTTTCTAATTATCCTCCATAGCTCTGTAAAAAGTTCCATTACCAAACTATATAGTTCATCCTCTCAGATAACCAGGATAGCTCTGGCCACCAATCTAGACTGGCTGCCAATGGATTTCACAACCCACATCTCAGAACTTATGTATGTATGTACATATACATGTATGTAGTGCTGGGGAAAGAACCCAAAGCTTTCTAAATACTAGGCAACCGTTTCACTTGAGTTACATCCTCAGCTATACTTACTTTTCTTTTTCTTTTGGTCCAGTGGTGGGTCCTGAACTCTGGGTCTGGGAACTGTCCCTCAGCTCTTCAGCTAGTACTCTACCACTTGAGCCACAGCTCCACTTCTGGCTTTTTTTCTTTTTTCTTATGTGGTGCTGAGGAATCGAACCCAGGGCCTCATGCATGCAAGGCAAGCGCTCTACCACTGAGCCACCTTCCCAG